CTTTTTGGGCAAACACACCATTTCTATCCCTCATAAGGTTTCAGAAATGTTCTTTTGAAATTCGCTGTTTATGGAGGATTGTGTTTTTGGTAAATGCAAGAAGTACAGTGTTGCTTCTGTTTTCGAGCACAAGAAAGAGCCCTGCATTTCAAAATGGCAGTTAGTTTTGGAGGGACTGCGGAAAGGGCGCACAATCGTCAGTCCGTCGGTCGTATAATCTGGAATTTGATGTTCACATGGCACAGAATGTTGACGGGGGTCACAGTTGTCAGTTGAAACATTCTGGCTCAATTACAGAAGGCGGCTGAGCTGTGTCAGGGAAAAGGAGACGGACAACAAGGGGGCAGTTGTGTGCTGCGGGGCGTATGCACGAGGGTGCGGATTGACACGAGAAGTTTGAAATCTCACGCGAAGGCCGTTTGAAATCTCACGTACAATTCTGAGGGTAGCGCGAATGACAAAGTCAGAAAAGGCCGCGAAATGCAGCTATGGTTTGCACGGGATCTATCGCCCTGCGCAAATTGCATTTTCAAGATGGCTGCACCCAACATGCACTGCAGATGACTTTTGGTGGCGTGCAATGCTCCGTGCGGTGATGTTGGTCGCAACATCCAGGCAGTCTTTCACTACGGAGCGTGGGACGAGTGAGTGACGGAGTTCCATAGCTTCGCCGCTTGGTCGACGGAGAATTATAATTTAGACAGCGGCAAAAAAAAAGCAAAAGTGGCTGTGCTCGCCGATGCTTCTACAAAAATGTAACGCGTAAATAATGAACTTTCAGACAGAAAGCAAATGCATGCCATCAGTGAATCGGAGGATCATTTATTCCATTTGCCCATGACCCTTCAAGTTCTGTTTTTTATGCACTGTATAATTTAACAGTAAATATACGCTGTATGTTTATTTTCTAAATAACACAGAGGCAGCCAGTCTTCTAAGTTTATACGGAGACTGCTAGGCCATTAGCTGCACAAAGCTGCCTTTATCCTCATGGTTAGCTGCCTGTGCTTGCATCTGCTGGTCGGTGAGGGAGCAATGTGGCTCCCATTCGCGTTGGCCACAAAGCCTGCAATAGCAGTGCACCTCCCCAGGGCCTGCGCATTTGCTCATTATGCTGCGTCTACAATTTATTGCATGAAAAGTTACAGCACGATGAACTAAACAACGTTTATTCTTGGAGATGTTTTTTTTTTTCCGGTAGGGTTTTCAGGTGGGCGTTAACCCGCGAGATCCCTGAGCCTGATGCTTGAGCCTCGTGTGAGCTACAGAAGATGAGAAGCTAAACTATGACCTAAACAACTTTTTATTTTACCACGTAAGGCCCCACGGAGCTACGTAGCTCTTTTTCAGAAGTGACCTGGCCACACATGATAGCTCAACGAAGTGGGCTTACCGTGTCGATATTTATAGCAGTCAAATACTCTAAACGTATGTTGATTCTAAATGTGGAGGGGAAAACTGGAGGACCCGGAGAAAAGTCCACGTGACCACGGGGAGAACACGCAAACTCCAAATCTACAGCAGGTGTCAGGGTTGAGATCGAACCCTCGACCTCCTGTATACCAGGCGAGGCAGAAAACGTCTCGCCACCAGGGTACCATTGAGGATATCAGTGTGGCCGTGACACATTCAAACCTTTGGCACATTACCCATGATTCCTTTAAAATCATTATTGTTACGTTTGCTTACCTGGGAAAGCCTGAGTCTATTTTTCAGGAGGGTCCTGCCGGGTTTTTCACAGGAGGGGGAGATGTTTCTGCTGTGTGTAATCTCCAATTGAATAATTTTGATGGATTATTTTTTTGCATTGGGATGTTTGGTCAGTACCAGTTACCTTGTACGTTTTGTTGCTATGAAAGGAAATTGAAGAACCCAGATATACAAACTCCACACAGAAAGGGGCGAGAGTTTAGGAATTGAACAGGAGTGTTACAACTGCACCACCGTGCAGCCATGTAATATGCCACACATAACACACGGTATATGGTATAGATAACTGCGAAGCTATCGATCGTAATTATTCTCTGCATAAGTCCTCTTTCGGAAGAAGTCGGGTGCCAACTTGCCACTCATATAGAGTGCATTCACATCCAACCTGTATTATGCTGCACTCTAGTCTAATGTGTAAGCAATATACTGTATGTTGATCATGACTTAATGCTCTATCGTAGCCTCTACATGCGGTGTTTGCAAGCAGACTTGTATGTATGTTGAACTTCTTTCGCACGATACATAGCCAACCGTGCGAATTGGAGGCTTGCATCCTCTCTGGCAGTGTTCTTCATTGCAAGGCCCGTGGCCACTGGCGGCCCCTGGTGGCCTTTAGTGCGGCCCCTGACCTGTGGCCCCAGACAATACACAACATAATGTGAAAGCACCCCTCCCCCCCCCCCCAAAATATCATCGTGCTGTCGAACCCCAACGGTTTCAAATGTGCGGCGGCCCTCGCTGATGATCTCTTTTCGGCGAAAGTGCCTCCCCCTCCTCCACCCCCTCTGAAGATTTGTGAAGAACGCTGCTCTATGAAGTTGCAGAGAGGACTCGCTTGTGGGAGTGAGGGTTTGTTCGTGGGATGTGCAGGGATGTGTTGTTGGTGTGTATACCGTCGGGTTTTTTCGCTGGCTAACTCATTAAGATGTGACAGGCAGTTCATTAGCGTTCTACGGGGCGGTGACACGGCCCAGCTGTAGTGCGGTTTTTTCCGCTTGTTGCAGAGGTTCGCGACTTGGGTCGAGCGGCCGCCCCCTGGTTTTTACTGCCCGTGTGTGTTAACCGAACACTGCTTCGCGACGCCTGCTTTACAGTGGACGTTAAAGATACAGTGGCATCGCGCAAAATAACGGCAAAAATCAAAAAATGACACTGCGAGTTACGTACGCACTTGGGATCACGCGTAGCAACATCGTCCCCTGCTGTGCAACTCCCGCTGCAGACTGTGCCTGTGTAACACGACGCCGTCCTTCCTGATATTGCTGCGCTACAACAATGCTACCAATACCAAATGTACAAAATTATTATTAACTATATATTTAAATTATGTCCTAAGCTCTTGGGCTGATCTCCCAGTTAATGTCCCTCTCTCCCTTCCCCTTCCCAGCCCTGTTTGAGACTGTGTTGTGTGGCTAGGAGATGTTAACAACCTCGCCTGGTGTCTAGGAGGTCGTGGGTTCGATCCCGACCCTGACGCCTATATATTTGGAGTTTGCGTGTCTCTCTCCCCATGGTCACATGGATTTTTCTCCGGGTCTTCCAGTTTTTCCCTCCGCATTTAGAATCAACACGCGTTTAGAGAGTATTTGGCTGCTATACATTTCCACGTGATAAGCCACTTCGTTGAACTAGAATGTTGTCAGGTTACTTCTAAAAAAGAGCTGTATAGCTCAGTGGGCCTATGTGGTGAAACTTAAAATATTTTTGGTAGCTTTTAATAGTTGGTATACTGAGCTGTAATATCATAGGGCATCTTCTACTGATAGGGCACAACTCACGTATTTGTATTATTAAATTTATTGTGATGTCTTCACCTCAACGTAACACATGGCCACACTTTGTGAGGAGGTTAATTTATCAATATTTGCAAAGGAATATTTGTCAATGTTGATCCAAACATGCAGGGAAGAGAGTAAACAAAACCAGTAGATAGACATTAATGACCTGGTGGCTGGAGTTGGGAGTTCATTCTTACGTATGTATGATGTGGGTTGTGTAACAGGAGTTGTTGGGCACTGTTTTCCTGCAGGGTTTTGGTATGGTAGGTGTGCGTAATGCTTTAAGTATCCCAATGACTAAGCCGGATGTGGGTTTGCTCAGGCATGTATTTGCTTTGTTAAAATATAATTTGTATATACTTTGTTCACATTAGTTTGACTTGCACTGATCTGAGCAATAATTAACTTGGGAGGTAAAACATTGGCCTCCCTTCATCAGCCATTCCGCTTCTGCCACGTGGGGTAGCCAAGAGGTACCCAGAGCCCAGTGCTCTCGTGGCTTAGCGGGGACCTTGAGACCGGTTTGCAATTTTTGGATGAAGCCAACAAACATACATTTTGGCACCTAAATATTTCGGATTATCCGGAAACTCAAAAAAATTTGCGTTTCGGAATGATACGACAGGATGCCAAAGCAGTGTCAGGTAACATCGGGTGACATCACTTTCATGAGCAAAACATAAAAGTTTGACGATTATGTAATGTAAATGATCTGCAATGCAATCAACAATCGATATAAATTATATGACCATCGCACAATCACTAACAATAGCTTATGAGGCTGCCAAACTAGTGCCGAAGAAATCTGCATTCCAAACCACTGGGTTATTTAAAAAGAATATAGCTTTTAGGGTGAAAATCCCAACGAAGAGCAATGTGTGGGCTAGGACAATTTCTTTCACAGGCAGATGGAGCACAAGGGTGCTGTAAGGGTTGGCGAAGTACGGTGCGAAAGAAGTTCAACTCATGGGCAGCATCTCGCCACTTGAGAAACCCACGTGGTGGCTGGGCGAGGCGTTTCTCAGACATCTAGCATACACTTGATGTTCGTTTTGACCTGTAGAAAAGGTACCTGTGGTTTCTGTCAAAAGCATGTAAATGCATCTATATAACGGTTTCTTCGCTGTTTGTTGGTTGTGCTCAAGACATGAGGAGCCAATTTACCGCACCCAAGCGACCTTCCCTTCCCACACACCAACACTCACACGCGTTATAAATCACGGTCAAAACGGATGCGTCTAGGAGGGCGTGTATCATTTAAAAAAAAACGTTTAACGAGGTGCAATTCGCGTTTGGAAACACGAATTTTTCAACTTGGGAAGTGCGAGCGGCCGGGTACGACGCTGAGCGGTCACCGTCGTTGCGCGTGTCGCCGTGGTGATGAAACGCACGGTCTCCACGGAGACGCCGAGCGGGAGCGTGCGCCCGCGTCATCGCCGTGGCGACGGCAGCGGCGGCTCCTGTTGCCGTGACGAGCGCTTCTGCGCGCGCCCCGTGTCCGTGCGTACGCAGGGAGTCATCAACGACCTGAGGATCAGCACGGAGCCATCGGCGGCCAGGCAGCACTGCGAGGATGACGACGTGCTGGAAGTGAGTGCCCCGACGGTGGCCCCAACAATGACCCTGAACGATGGCCCCAAGGGTGGCCCCCGACGACGGCCCCGCGATGCGCCGCCCGGCCAACTTTCTCTCGGAACGAGAGGCGGTGGCCGGAGCGCCCGGTGACGCCCCTTCGTGTGCCTCGTGTGGGCCGCGATGTCGAATTCACCCGTCGGAGAGCCCTGCGTGCTGCAGCGCCGAGTTCGATTCACGGTCGCCAGCTAACCAGTGCGGAGAAGTTTTGGTCAAAGCATCCCCTACGACCGACACGGTGTGGGGAGTCCTTTACCCAGCAGTGGATTGACAAAAGGCCGTAAATTACGATTATATTTTTGTTCAAACAGTGTCCATGGCCTTGGTTGCCAAAATGACTAAGTGAAACAAACAAAACAAAAAGTACAGCAACCAAGCAAACACAAATCAGAACAAAAACTTTTGCATCGCATGAGCAGTTGCAATTAGTGCACAAACACAAATCAATGCCAATGAATAGACTCCCTGCAGCACATATTGGCTTGGGAAGAATATCCCCAGACTGATCAGAGTACAGTTACAAAGTAGGTTACGGAAACATCAACCAGATATAAGGTGACAGTTGCACTAACATGTCAACAGACAAGGATTAATGTCAAAAGCAGGGCACAGCTGCAAGCTATTTAGCGACTGACCTATTCCAACTTGTTGTAGATCTCTTTTACGAGCTCGATGAATTCTGGAAATCTTCAAAATACCACGAAAAATACAAACGGTGCCGAGTGTTCCCGCCGGTAGTGTGAAACGGTGCCGAGTGTTCCCTCTGCGAGCACCGTTGTGTTTGGTGATGGGCTCGCTGTGCGGGACGTGTCCAGGCCTCTGGGGGTGACCAGAGCGGAGATGGCGACATCGATGGGGACACGCCCCCCCTGCCTGCACCGTCCATCGACAGCCCAACGCCAACCGCGCCCACGGTGCCCAAGGTGAGGATGCCCGGGGCAGAGAACAACTCGGACGTGTCGGCATCACACGTCGCCCAACCACCCCGTCGGTGGGGGAACAGACGAATGTATCTTGAGATTCATAAATGTTTATGCATTTTTTTCATTTCATGAAATGCAACAATCTTCTGAAAAATGATAATGATTCTAGCAATGCTCATTTGCATCAGTACACTCCGATACACGAGGTTAATTCGCAAGAGACCGCATCGGAATTTCACACTATAGTGTGCTGCTGCACATGTTGTACTGCAGGTGTGCATTTATAAAGATACTCGCGGGAAGTACCCGGCGTTGCTCGGGCGAAAAAGACACACACACACACACATCGACTTACACACACACAGACATCGATCCACACACACAAACACGTTGACCCACACACACACACATCGACTCACACACACACACATACATAGACTCACACACACATCGACCTACGCGCACACACATGGACTTACACATGGACTTACACATGCACACATATTGACTAACACACACACATTGATTTACACACACACATGGATTTACACACACACATGGATCCACACATGCACATAGAGCCACACACGCATACACATACAGCGACACACACACACATGGACTTACACATACATGGACTTACACACACACATCGATGTACACACACACAAACACATTGAATTACACACACGCACATGGACGCACACACACATCGACTTACACACGTACATTGACCCACACACACACACATCGACTTGCACACACACAGTGACTCACGCACACATCAATCTACACAAACACATCGACCCACACACACACACACATCGACTTACAAACATACAGCGACTCACACACACATGGACTTACACACACACATACATCGACTCACACACATCGAATGACACGCACAATATTTTTTTTTATTTTCACTTACACACATACATCGACTCGCACATATCGATTTACACGCACACACAATTTTTGTTATTTTCACTTACATACACACACATCGACTCCAAAGCACACATGGACTTAGACACACACATTATTATTGTAAAAAATACTAACTTCATTGTTAAATATTAGTTGTCTACACACACACACCACTCACACACATTGACTAACATACAACAACAACAACCGCCATTCGCCACTAAGTGGCAGTGACGTCACCACGATGCTTGTGCCAGGCTATGTGCACCCTGAGGCCACGTGAAGTGTCGAACGCCCGCTGGCAGGAGGTCACGGGGCAGACCCAGGTACCACGGGTCGACTGACTGAGATGACTGGCTGATGCACCACCTGTGCCCCCTACTGTGCCAACCCGCTGTGCTTCAGCCACCCGGCGCTCTGCTCGTTGTTGTGAGCGTCGCCCCTCCGCCCTCCGTTGTTGTTGGAGGGCGACTACCTCCAACTGCCCAGTAGTGTCCTTCACGAGCCTCCTCCACAGAGGCCGATCTTGACACCGCTGGTACCAGTCATCGGCAAGTCCACTCAGCTCCACGTCCTCCTGTACCACATCACTCCATCTCTTCTCTAGCTCGTGCCGTGCCCATTTAGCCCCCTCGATCTGGCCGAACAAAAGCTGTTTCGGCATGCGGGCTACATGACCCAGCCAACGCAGCCTTGCCTGCCGGAGGAGCTCACCGATGGGACCTTGCTCAGATCTTTCAAGGATTTGTGAGCTCCTCACACAATCCAGCCTGGTTAAACCCAGGATGGATCGTAGGCAGGCTAGCCTAAATGTTTTCAACCGGCGAAGATGTTCCATTAGGGGGGTCCACGTTTCGCAACCGTAGAGAAGGGAGGGAATGACCATGGCCGAGAAGACCTAAAGCTTAGTGCGGAGCGACAGACCAGGTAGCTTCCACACAGCGTTACGCAACCGATGAAAAGATATTGCCGCTCGACTGATCCAGAGTGAGACCTCTGTTGTTAAACTGGAGTCAGTCATAAGCACACTGCCCAGGTATGGGAAACAACTGCCCCATCACCGATTGGGAGTTGTGGGGGTGGAGTGTCCGATGGTACAAAACACCCAGGCAGGTGCTTAGTTTTGGTGGGGCTGATGGTAAGGCCCCACCTCTTAGTGGCACGCTCCAGTCTCAGCAGCAGCGTCTCCAACTCCTCCCCTGAATGAGCAGCTATTACCAAATCATCAGCATACATAACATGGTTGAGCAATAGGGAGCCATCCCTTGACCACACCCGGGCATCGATCAGCCTCCCATTATATCTGTACCATATGGAGATTCCCCCGGTACAGCTATTGAAGGCTTCACGAACTACGTGGTCAAAATAGATGTTAAATAATGTGGGAGCCAGAGGACATCCCTGTCGCACCCCAAGGTGTACAGGGAATGGCTCTGACTCCCGGCCACGTAGTTTTACCCAGGACCACTCCCCATCATGAAGGTCCTTAATGATCGTGAGCAGAGGGTCAGGTACTCCAAAAGCACGACGAACAACCCAGAGCCCAGGCCTACTGATGGTATCATAGGCCTTGACCAGGTCAATAAAGCAGAGATGTAGGTCTTGTTGGAATTCCCTACACCTCTGCTGTAGCAGACGGACAGAAAATATGGCATCTGTGCAGGACCGCCCTTTCCTGAAACCGCATTGGGGCTCCGCAAGCCTCTCCTCAGCGTGCCTGGCAAGGCGATGTTGAATAACCCTTGCCAGGACCTTTCCCGGCACTCTGAGGAGTGAGATGCCCCTGTAGTTGTTACAGTCTGTGCGGTCCTCCCTCTTAAAAAGGGGGACCACCAGGGCATCCTTCCAATCCTGCGGAACCCGTCCAGTGGTCCAGACTGTTGTTATGATGTCATATAGGGCAGTCTGTGCACAAACGCCACCCTCCCTCAGCATTTCGCTTGGGAGATCATCTCTGCCCGCTGCCTTTCCTGGTCTCAGACTCCGGATCGCCTTCAGTACTTCCTCAAAAGATGGCACCTCAGCCAGCCACTCATAGGGGGTGACTTCTTCCAATATTTGAGGCACCGCAGCCTCAGCAGGGTCATCCTCACTTTGTGCCACGATGTTTTCCTGGCTGAGGGATTTTCCCTCCCCCAGGACCTCACAGAAATGCTCAGCAAATCTGCAAACCTGTTCCTGGGGGTCGGAGATTGGATCACCGTTTTTTCCCCTAATGATGGTAATAGGTGTGGTGCTGCAGGTTACTTTTTTGATGTAGTTAAATAGGGATTTGTGATCACGGGCCACTGAGGCAGACTCCATCTCCTCAGCAACCCGCGACCACCACCCATCCTTGCAGCGCCTCACGGCTCTCCAAACCTCCGAGCGAAGGCTGCGGTAAGCCTCATTCTCTGATGTGGGATTCTGTAGCCGATGACAGTGGGCCTGTCGCTTTTTCTCAACCATCCTGAACACTTCCTCTGTCAGCCAGGGTCTCTGGGGAGGTCTGGACCGCGTACCCAAAGCAGCCATTGCAGCTGCATGAGTCACAGTCCTAAACCTCGCCCATTTACCCGCGACATCAGGAGGAGTCGGGGACGATGCCAATCCCAGCCGCAAGCGATGATGAAATTCTCGCTTGCAACTTTCATCAGATAACTGAGACCAGGCCACTTTAGGTTGGAATGGGGTCCTGGGTGTACACCCACCACCGGAGTGGAAGAATGGCAGGCGCATCTTGCAGATGACTAGTCGATGGTCAGAGGGCAGATCAGCTCCACGGTAGGTCCTGGTGTCAAGGACATGGGTTCGCATCCGCTGGTCCATCACTATGTAGTCCAACAGATGTTCTTGCTTGGACCCAGCATGCATCCATGATGTTGTGTGGATGCGCCGATGCCGGAACAGTGTGTTGGTAATTACAAGCACATGGGCTGCACAAAAATCTACCAGCCTCCTACTCTTGTTATTGAGCTGATCTGGCCCATGCCCTCCAATCACTCCAGAGCAGGTGCCAGCATCATGACCAACTCAGGAATTGAAATCACCCAACATGATGACTCTATCCCGAGGGGCCACTTTAGCCAGCACCTGTGACAGGAGGTCATAGAAGGCATCTGACTCATCGGCTTTGCCTGTATCCCTCCACGGATGTTCATCTTCGGTGGGGGGCATAAGTAGCCACGACCACCATTCCTCGCCTCCGGTTGATGGGAAGGCGAGCCCAAAGTAGCCTGGGGCTTACAGCTTCCCACACCTCACCGCCACACTCCCACGCCCCCTTCATTCTTTTGTTCCAAAGAAGAGCCACACCTTGTTGTTTGGCAGTCTGCTGCCCCGAGTAGAGGACTGTCCACCCCTCATGGTGGCAGGAGCCAGAACCGGTCCACCGGACCTCCTGAATGCCACATAGATCCAGGCGGTACCGGTCCAGCTCCCGACAGAGGAGTGGCAGCCTCTCCTCCGCAGTGAGCGTTCGAACATTCCACGTGGCCACCCGTAGTGGTTTTTCGTTGGTTCTGGAGGAGCCCCGAGGGTAGATATTCAATCTCCTGGCTCCACCAATTGGGGTTTGGCCAAGAGACGTCATTGACGCCTGGCCCCCCGGGGCCTCCGGCACAAGCTTATTAGTTATATACTTAATTCGTGGTTTAGTGCTAATTAATTGAAGGTGGAGGGGTTTACCAGCCCCTCACAGCCGTCCAGAGCCCCCGTTTAGCCCCTGTGGTGGACACAGATGCCATGAGGGGAGGAGCCAATCGAAATTGGACCTCGCCCCACCGCAATGTCCACGACAGAGTTGCCCGTCCGGCACCGTGAGGAGGTAGGGGGTTGTTTTTGCCGGACGACTAACATACACACATCGACTCACACACACACACATACATAGACTCACACACACATAGACCTACGCACACACACATGGACCCATGCACACACATCGACTTACACACACACATCGACTTACACACATCGACTCACACACACATCGACTATCGACTAAGACACACACACGGACTTAAACACACACACACGGACTTACACACACACATGGACCCACGCACACATCAATCTACACACACACA